GTGACGTCATAATTGTGATGACGTCATTTCCTATAGTGCCTTTGTCGTCTTTGAATAATATGACTCCAAATCTCACTTTTTTTTGTCTACATCGTTTTTTTATGGTAAAATTTACAATTTGAGAAGTTTTTGAAGTTAAACAATTTGGAACAAGCAATTTTGAGAAGAATATCCGCCATCTTAGGATCCGCCATCTTGGACCGCCATCTTGAATTTTCTAAAATGCCATTAAAAAACTAAGCATTGAGGCAAACAGCTCAAAATGTCTTAAATACTTCTCAAACTAACATTTAATGAATAAAAAAGTGAGTTTCGAAGTGTTACTGATGATTTTAATGAAATTTTCTCCCATGTGAAAAAATGACAGAAAACTACCCACCCCTCCCCCCAAAATTTTTGTTGTCGAAAAAGTATTATGGTATTGTACAGTCAGCAATGGGAGCAAGCTCAAATAGGTAAAAGATGCATAATAAAACAAGAAATAAGCTTTAGAAATGAAAAATTAAGCTTATTTTACATTTTTGAAAACCTATGTGTCAAAAACTGGTTGCCATGGCGACATGGATGACGTTATCAACAAAAAATTTACATCAACATCTGCCCAGATAAATTTTAGGAAAAGTCCGAAAGTTTCAGAGCTCTAGCTATCTTGGTTCGAAAGTTATTGGCTTTTTACGCGAGGGGGGGCTCAAAAGCCCCCCCCCCAGTCTGAATAGGGTTAAAATCCCAGTGCATTCAATCCCATTTTCCCAGTGAAAGTAGGATTAATCCAATTTAACACCTTGAGGACCCTCTACAACGAGCGTCCTGAATTCAAACTATGATACACCATTAGAAAACAAGAAGGACAAAATTGATCATCCATTTATTTCCTTATCTCAAAGATATTATCAACAATAGTAGAAAAAGGTAGAAAATTTTGAAAAGGTCACTAAGTATTGTAGAAATATTGGCAAAAACATTGCCCAAATTACTATTCACAAAATATATCAATTCATAATCAAATCTCAAATATTATTCAAAATATATTATATAGAATTCAAATATACAAATACTATATTGACGGTCGATTGATTGGGAATGAGTGCTGATGACCTTTGTGAACACCGTCTGGTACAAAACAACAACACTGAACAGACAATGACAGGTCAGGTCGTGATCGACCGTCTGGTTGTCATAGGCTAGTATACTCTAGCAATTATGTCCTTAAAAATAGCATGCAATTTATTGGCTAATAGTAGTGTCTATGGTTTTCATGCAAACATGGACGTCATGCCGGAGAAGCCGCAATGGAAACAGGCCAGGGAAAGGCCAGGAATAGATTCAGATCAGGAAAAGACTAGACACGTCTGCCTGGAAAATGGATGATGACTACCATGACTACCATCAAAACCATGGATGGAAGGAAGGCCATGGATGTAGTCCAGGCAGCAATTGGTTGCTGATACTTAAATAACCTGTTTTTCATCGTTATAAATATTTTCTACAAATGAACTATTTATATGCGAAACTATTGCACCCTGGAAACACCAAACAATAAAATTATTTGGCATAAATCTAATAAATAATCTTTAAAACACGTTTTAAGTGAGGCATTCATCGACGTCACGTAGATAGCTTTTGTTTGACCATTTCAACTAGTATATCAGAATAGCGCATTAATAGGTCCCGTGATGCGTCTTCCTGCTCTACAGCGGTTGGTACACTGGCTTCAGATGCACGCCTGTGCATGGCCGGCTGACTGCTGGTCGCCAGTGTATCCAGATTATTCATTGAGAAGCTAAAATTGCTGGCCATTGACCGGTTTCGAGGTTTAAAAACCTCCGTTGAGCGCATGCGTAGTTGTTTGCAATGCTCTTCAGTGTCAGTAAAGGTGTTTGTGAGAAGAGCCAACATCTCTTCTTTATCGTCCGAATTGTCTTCTTCAAGAACCTACAGACAATCCATTAACAAATTAGGTTTACAAAGGTAATAATAATAACACAAAGGTAATGATATAGAAATGTTTGATACCTGGGCATGTAAGTCAGTTATGCTTTTAATGGCCTGGTTAAGTTGATTGACAGCATCTTGGTAGATCTGGAATTTACTGACGTTCTTCCCTTCTGTGAACAATACAACATCGAGATTGATGTGATTTAGCTCAGTATATATGCAAAAAACAAACAAGAYAATAAATTCTTTCACAAACAATGATATCATGTCTTATGCAGTCCGGTATACTGAAATACCGCTCTCTGATTGGCTGACCCGCGGTTCGCCGTGTCACGATATCCATGTAATTTTAGCGGAAAAAGGATGCGCAAAAAATAAGTAGCTATTTACAGTCTAAATGTCGGTCGCTATAGTAAAAAACTGTCTTGATATTTCAAACGGACGTCGTCCTTGCGCCGAAATTTATATCCAGTTTTAGCTGGATTTATATTGATTAATAGTTTTGATAAGACGGCAAGGCAAGGTAAATGGCGCACGATCAGATATTATACCTCCATCTTTACCCACGGGTGACCGCCTATCGGTGAATGGTGGAGGGAGGGATGCACCAGCCTGACTGTCTGTAGGGATATCCTCTGTAGACAGACCACGCGTAGACGACTGATCGAGATGGATTTCTTCTCGTAGTGGCTTTAACCTTGCCTCCAAGTCACCGAGAGATTTTGACTTTGATCTTCTTTCTTCTGCTGACACTTTACCTGCGAGGACGTTCAATGAATATTGACAAACCCAATACTGACAAAGCGGTCACCATTATACACGATTCACACCATAACCTTACCTCTTTTATCACGAAACAGCACTTTCTCAGATTTCTTGGGGAAGTCAGAAGTGCGTAAAGTATTAGCAAACGGTTCACGCTTATCTTCTTTCTTCTCTTTGGACTTAAAACCACTAAAACCAAGAGACTTTCTCCACGATGACTTGGTCTGCGCCATGAGTGAACTAGATGAACCGCGCTTCTCCATCTTTGGTTTGTCTTTTTTGTCTTTGCTATCATCTTTCTTGTCAAGTTTCTCCCTTTCCTTTGGCAAGTCTTTTTGTTTCAGTCGTTCTTTTTCTTTCTCGGTTTCTTTTGTCTTTTCGATTTCCCTTTGGTCTTGCTTAAGTCTTTCTTCGTCTTTGGCTTTTTCTAATTCTCTTTGTTTATCTCGTTGATTCTCTTTTTGTAATTCTAATTCTTGCTTCCTCTCTTTTTCTAATTGCTGTTTTTCTCTTTCCATTTCGCGAGATTTTTCTCGTTCTTCTCTGCTTTTTTCTAATTTTCTTTGCTTTTCCTTTTCTCTTTCCTTCTCCTTTTCTATTTCCAATTTATGCTGCTTCTGGTTTTCTAATTGTTGTAGTTTTTCTCTTTCTCTTTCTTTTTCTTTCTCAATTTTCTGTGTTTTTTCTCGTTCTTCTTTGGCTTTTTCTAACCTTCTTTGCTTTTCTTGTTCTTTTTTCTTTTCTATTTCCAATTGTTTCTGTTTTTCCAATTGTTTTTGCCTTTCCTTTTCTTTCTCTATGTCCAACTGTTGCTGTAGTATTTCTTGTTCTTCTTGTTCTCTCTTCTTCTGTTCTTCCTGCTTTATTTCCTTTCGTCTTTCTTCTTCTTCTCTTGCGTTTTCAATTTGCTTTTGTTTTTCTCTGTCTTCATCGCCCGGTTCTTTAACTTTCTCGGTTTGTCTTTCTTCTTCTTCTTCTTTGGATGTTTTTAGTTTCTGTTCTTGTTTTGATATCAAGGTAGACTCGTCCTTTTCACTTTCCTTGTTTGCCTGCAGTTCCTTTGCAAGCTTTTCATTTTGCAATGTTCGTTCATTTTCATTATTGCCTGCTTCATTCCCTGGTGTGGTGTAATCTCCGTCTTGCTCGCTTATATTGCTTGCATTTATTCCATTTACTGGTCGATGATAGGAATCTATGTTTTCTTTTCCTGGGTTGGCTTTTGTCTGTTTATCATCGTCTTTGCCTCGCTTTACCCAGACGTTCTCGTCTTTCTCAGGGATGAGCTGTTCATGTAGAGATGATAACTTGTTCTGAAAGACAAACAAATTTGACGTTTACTAGACAACAATCATCTACATATCAACCCCACCACGACTTGAATGACCATTAACACAATCATCTACATATCAA